CAAAGCCAACTGATGCGATTGTCGTCAGAAGCAACGCTTGCCATTGCCGGAATGAGCTGCGCAACAGCTGCGCTCGCCTTTGGCGGCGGCGGTGACAACAAACTCTTGGGCTTGGGACCAGTGTACTTGTTTGTATCACTGTGGAGAAATGCGCACTGCTTGGCCTTGCACGAATTATAGGCATAAAACATGCATGGTGTCTTTGCTTTCTCTGCCGCGGTCATACTGGCTGTCTTGCTGATGGCCTTAGACCTAGGAGTAAGGTTATCATTCGAACCACCCTTACCTTTGCCCTTGGGGGCTGGTGCTGCATTAGCTTTAGGAGGAGGCGGCTTTGGAGCTTTAACCTTCGGCGCAGGGGCTGCCGGAGTCTGCTGGTCAGCAGATTTATCCTTCTTGCTCTTCTTATTCTTCTTGGGCTTGTCTTCGCTGCTTGCTGCGGGCATGGCATTAGAATTATTCCCCTGGGACATGACGGCTGGCTTGATTTGAAGACTTTTGTCAAACTCATCCCTGTTCCGCTTGTCCTGATGGAGCTCCAAGGCTAGATCAACCTTGGACCACAACCATTCCGGCTTCCTACGGTGGCTGCCGATAGAGCTTCCCGTGCCTTTTCTACCTTAGGCTTCAGCGCGGTGCACTTTTCCAGCTCATCCAACAGGTGATCAAACAAGGTTGTTTCCCTGGGTTGTTCTGCCACGGGGATTGCGGTCAGCACGTAAACGTACTTCTCCCGAAAGGCATCCAAGTCAGCAAGGGACGGACCTGCAAGAGACAACTTTAACAAGTTACGGCCCCCTAAGGTTCCGATCCTACCTCGCTCCAACTGGAAGTGCTTGAAGATGGCGCGCAACGTGATTCTCCCTACGGGCGTCCCACCTGACGAGATTCTCTCTTGTTCAAACATGTTTTGAAACAAGAGCCCGAACTTACCTTTGCGGCAGGTTTTAAGGAGCTTTGCGGCTACTTCACGATCTAGACGTGGGAAACGCTTGTCCGCGACGAGTTCTTGCTCTGAGGAGGGCATGCATGCTTGGGCCCACTGGTAAACTTCATCTCCGGGGGTCTTCTGGAGTCGACCGATGGCCATCAAAACTTGGTTGACGAAACCTCTAGCCTGACCAGCGTTCTCCGGAGGGGATGGTAGTACAAGATCCTTGAGATCCTTGACACGGACAACGGACTCCTCATATGCGGCGTGATCTACGGCGGTCATGCCTACACTGGGATCGGCAGCTTGAGACGGTCTGCATTGGGGAACTGGCCAGAGCCTCCCCCACCTCCCCCACCATTCATGGTGAGGTATGGGCATTCCGTGTCTTCATGGCTGCCGCCGCAAACTTGACATTGTGGGGCATCGTCATCTCCATCGGAGTCTGATGATGAGTCGGAGCTTGCGGCCGATGGCGCTTGTGGGGTACAACCCTCCCAACATTGTGATTGGTACTGGCGGAACACGAGTGCCGTTGCCAGCTTTTGGCGGAGGCGGCGCCCCTGCGAGGGCCGTGGGAGGCACTGGAGGTGGTGCGGCCGGAGGCGGAGGTGGCGGAGCCACTTGATTAGCAACCAAATGAGAAAGCTGCTGAACCATTTCCGCTAAAGCCGTCACGTGCACTCTCACATCGGCTTGATCCCTTGTACCGTCTCTACCCAACCCGCTAGTCCTCGACGCGCCGGGGGCTGCGTCTCCAACAGAGGACGCTGCTCCTAGCACTGCCGAATGGCCTACGAGAAGTTGACTTGTATCAATTCCACCCGGTTCCCTTGAATCAGCTGGGGCATCGTGACCAAGTCCTGAACTTTGAACAGAACCACGCGAAGGGTCGGGGATAATACCTGAGAAAGCATTCCCTTGCGACGATGCGGCAACACCGGAGGCATCTTGTGAACCTGAAACCTGAGGTGCTCCAACCGGCTGATGGGTTCCTGGAGGAACTGTGCCCTGACTTGAGGCTTTAGCCGCGCTTGATTCCATAGCTGTTTCGGCTATTGATGCGGCTTTTGGCGGGGACTCTTGAATCGGAACAGGGGTCGCACGAGCTTGTTGGGTGAGGTGTGCAACAACACGTTCGAGATCACCAAGTCGTTGATGCATCACAGAATTTTCCTGGGACAATCCACGAATGGTATGCTCTTGATTGTTCCCTTTGCAAGATTGCCTGTTGAGCCTCTTGAACAATGCGTTGAACCTCTTGCTGAGCGTCCTGTTGAGTGGCATTAACAACCTGCCGTGCGTTCTCGACATGGCCAATGGCTTCCTGTCGGGTCTGCTCGATTAGTTGCCTAGCCTGAGCCTCACTCTGTTGTGCTGTTTGTACAGCCTGCTGGGCTTGCGAAGCTAGCTGAGCGGCCTGAACCCTAACATCTGATACTTCTCTTACAGCCCTTTCCCTGATCCATCCGGCCTCTTGTCTCGCCTGGTCGGCGGCCTGCTGTTGGTGCAAGGCGTGATTGGCTGCCTGAGCAGCGAGGTCGGACGCTCGATGAGCTTGCTGCACCGCAGCTCCAGCAAAAAAGGCCGCAGCCGGTACGTTAGTCATCGGGTCGGGCATTTGTGAGCCCTGAGAAGGAAACTGTACGATTGGGGAAGCTTCGGATGATGTAGGTTCTGACACGATCGGACCACTTGGGGGTGATGATGGTCGTGTTTGGGCTGCTCGTTGAAGGTGTGGATGGACATAGCTGCAGGAACCATGGCTAAGTCAGGGTCATCCGGTTCAGAATCCCTATTTGGGGTTGACCTTGAACGGGGTTCCGAGGGCGGTGATAAGCCCGTTGAGCGCTTTGAGCAGCGTGTCAAAAGGTGCTACGAGGAGATATCCCTGGATTGGCAGCTGGTTGCGGCGGGGGTGGCGCAGGCGGCGGCCTTCTTGGCGGCAATCGAAAGCGGGTGCCGGCCTCGGAAGTTGCAGCGCTTGTAGCAGCTGCTTTAACGACCTGCGGCGGCGGCGGCTTGACGATGTACCCTTGTGGTGGGTTTGAGCCTGACTTGCTTCTGGGTTCGGCCTTGTTCAAACCTCGCGGAGGCGCCTTGTACCCGAATGCACTCTGAGTCCGAATAGGAGACCTTGCTCGAGGAGGTGATTTCCTTGGAATAACTGCTTTTGCCGGTACCGAAGAAGCTGCACGAGGAAGTTCCTTGGGCAATGGAGGCTTGCTGCCAAAAATGACCTTTGGTGCGGCCTTTGATGGCGGTGGCTGTATTGCTCCAGTCCTCCGGCTATGCAAAGCAATAGGCTCAGTGTGTGTCGGTGCCTCGTATACGCGCCGAGGCACGTAAGCCGCCCTGCCAGTTGTGAGGGATTCCGCGTCCTGCGGAGGCTCCTCCTCTGAGCTATAGGCGTCGAGACGATAATGCTCCGCTGGTCCTGGGCGTCGATCTGGAGATCGTGATCGCGAGCTTGTGGATGATCTTCTTGGGGGATCTCTCCACGTCTTGTCCGCAAGCGAATACGGGTCAGCCTGACGGAGATGCCGGGATGTCCGCTGTGCTCGGCGGTGAGATGTCGCCTCACGCGGCTGTGAAGCCTCCCGAACGAGTACCCAAGTGCCGTGCTCGTCAAATCGTGTCACAGGGTATATACTGTTCTGTGGAGCCAAAACAATGGGCCGTGTAGCAAGGGAAGTCCTGGATGGTCTGCCCTCCCGCGCAAGCGCGGGTTCAACACTGTGTGCCCGATGTTCCACAGGGGTAGCAGCAGTCGGTCCTCGTCTCGGAGACGATGGGGACCTCGATCTTTGTGACGACCGTTCCCTGCTGCTCTCCCGCCGCGTTTCCGCAGCTCTAGCGTATACCCCACGAAGCGCTGTCTTGGCGGCACCTCGCAACACTTGTCTTTCCTCTGCAGATGGTCGGATACGAGGCAATGGAGTGCGTGACTTGTAGCCAGGATGAAGCTGAAGGAGGCGTAGGAGGTCGTAACCAATCCGCTGCACTGCTTGTTGCTTCCGCCGCGCCAGAGGCTGCGGCTCTATCCTGCGACTGCACACCTTGTGACAAGACCACACCTGTGGTTTCAACCGATGCAAGACGTTGCTGATAAGCGTTGTCCGCGGCCTGGATTACCTCAAAGGCTTCTCGGTCGAATCCACACAGGTGCCAACTATCCAATGTCTCACGCCAGGAAAAGAGGGCCTCAATCTGTTGCTTTGAGGCGTCTGCAAACCTGATCCACCGGAAGCGTCTGTCCTGTCTCTTGTACTCGTCTACGACGATCTGTTGCAGGGTGTTGAACAGACGGGCACGCGGCCCTTTCCCACCGCGAGTGCCGCGGTGAGGGCCGACTTCCATGTGCGACCAAAAGGTCGCAGTCACGGAAGGGTTTGTTTACCCGAAAAGCGTTACGGCTGATAACCACTCAAAGGAGAGGGAAACACAGTTTTCTCAACAACGGGGGAACCCGGGACCTTAAAAGGAACGAACCCCGCCGTGACTGCGACCTCTCCCTTAACCTTGTGGCAGCGCGGGCAACGCGCTCTTTTCCTTGAGCCAAAGCAATGACATGTGGTCATGTCACTGATCAATCTTGAATTGTTTGTACATCATGGGACAAGATAACACGTACCTCTGACACATGATCCTCTGGGCCATAAATGTCATCGTGATAATTGACTAGAAAGTGTAACATTGTGTGCATGTGTGAGAGAGTGTGAAAGAATGTCAGAGAGTGTGAAAGAGCATGAGAGTGTAAAAGAGTGCAAGAGAGTGTGCGCGGGTGTGAGAGTGTGAGAGAGTGTCAGAGAGAGTGTAGGAGAGTGTGAGAGCGTCTGAGAGTGCGAGTGGGTGGGTGCGTGCGTGCGTGCGTGTAGTGCTTTTGGGGGAACCTTCTGTTTGCTTTAAAGGACAAACCAATCGGAAACTATAGCCTTCTTGGGGTTCCCTGTTTTGAGACTGACATGTTTTCTGTGAATCTACGGGGACCCCTTTGGACGTCAAAAACATGTGGGGGTAACAAGGTCCACCAAACACTCGCCACAGCTTGCCGGCCGCTTCCAATCGCCTGGTGGTCTGAGTCGGTGTCGGAGCTGCTGGAGCCCAGCCCGTCGTCCGACAGCCCCTGCCGGCTCGCCTCCGAGCCCTCAGTGCGGGGTTGCCGCGTTGCCGTTGGCAACGCAGGTAGAGACTCCAAAATGTGGGGCGGGTGCCACCCTTCTCTTCCACGCAAGAAGCTGTGGTTTAAACAAGCCCCCAAAAGGGGCGAACCCTAAAAGAGGTGATGGTGTGGTTGCTTCGATCAATGTTGCCCGTGCCCATGCCAAGCAACATCATCTAGGCTCGCGAGGCCGGCGTCGCCTTGGTAACTCGAGTCTCAGCAGTCGAAGTGGATTCCGGTGGAATTGAGATGCTGTCTTCTGTGGATGGACAACATTATGCACCAGTTGGGATGGACGAAGCCCTATGAAACCACTTGCCCACCGGTGCTGGACTGTGTCCCACTTTGTCCATCCTCTGAACAAATGACTTTCTATCTCTTGCTTTCAGGTGAAACACCACAAGGGGACCCTCGGATGCTAAGACATACCTGACTCTTCAAAGCACCACATTGGTGCTACTGGTACCTTAATCGCGAAACGGTGCATCCTTTACGCCGCATAAGGATTAGTGCCAAAATGGGAGGATTGCCCAGCTCCACTGGGCAGCTCCCCTCAGCAGCTGATGGGAGTAGAATTGATGCCACTCCCACAGCGAGGGAGGAATCCTCCCACCTCACCGGATGCCCTCCCGGCATCATGGGTGCGGAAATTCGCTTTCGACTGAGGGGAAGACCCGGCTCTCAGTCGGAAATTGCGGGTCCGGATGAGTAAGTTCATCCGCCCATGTGTTAAAGTCGCGCTTCACATGCGACGGTCCTAACATGACCTGGTGGTCATGCAGTGTTAACACAATTTCCATGAGGATGGCCGCATTGGGCATCCTGCGAGTGGAATCGTTAAGCAGGGAGAAAACGTTTCCCTGGTTATCACTAGCAACCAGAATCCTAGTGTGAGAAGCCGAGCCGGCTGCACAAAGCAGAACAGCCCTCACCAAAAGGAGGAGGCCGAAGAGCTCCAAGGCCGCTATCGCCCGCTGCGGGTCCCCAGTAGTGAAGGCCCACGGCTCGCCCTCCGGTGTGATTCTGTGTTGGAACCACTTCACTCGGGACTTGTCGGGGTTGGGCACGTCCGAGCACCAACCACCAACCCATGCATGGTCCGCCTGTTTGCCAGCTCCCGCATCAGATGCCCCCGTCCATGGAAGTGTGGGAGCAAATGGAGATGCCAGTGGGAACCTCTGGTTGAAGAGCTTCCCCAGAAGGATGGCCAGAGCACGAACCAGCTTCGGTGGCCTGCCCGAAGTGGTGCAGGCCTTCTTCCAGCTCCAAAAGGGCTGGAGGAAAGGTTTCGTCAATGGACACGCCGAAGTAGCCCATTGAATCCGGCCCAGGGCTTGTTCCACCTTGCTGGTAAAGATGTCCCCCTGGGCCAGCCGTTTGAGAGTGGCCAGGATTATGACGTGCTTGACTGGAGCCAGCAGCACACAGGGCGTGATTGGGTCCACCACGAATCCCAACCAGGTATTGACCGGGGAGAGCGCCGTCTTCTTCCAAGAAAGCGGGACTCCCAGCGCCAGAAGAGTGGCCAGGATGGCTGTGGCGTCCCAGTCCGCCCTGCTGCATCTGAGGACCCAGCAGTAGTCGTCCACAAAAACTAAGTGCCAGTCCACCTGAGGGAAGATGTAGTACAAGAGTCTGAGCACCAAGGATGCCTTTCTTCCCCAGTACAGTTGTGCCGAGGCCATGCCGTACGTGCCCACTCTATTGACCCACCACCGGTTCTGGATGCAGGCCACCTGGTATTTCCAGTCTTTCTGGAGCACTTTTATGCGCCTGTGGGCCTTGGTGACATCCGCCTTGAGGATGATGAAGGTTTCCCCCTGTGTCGGCGGCTGCCACGTCAGGGGTTCCCCCCTGCTCCCCCCAGGGCGTTCCGTGCCTGGGGGGGTTGGGGGGAATGGGGCCCTCCTATCAGGGCCCTCGGCACCTGGGAGTGGCCCCTTCCCTGAGGGTGTTGACCGCGGAGAGACGTCCAGGCCGCCGGAGGTCTCCATCATCCGCCTGCCCCTATCAGGGCCCTCGGCACCTGGGGGCAGCTGTGGGGGTCCCTCTCAGGGCCCTCGGCACCTGGGGACTGCCCCTGCACCGGCTGGTGAACATCCCGAGGTTCCTCATCAGTGCCCGAGGATGGGGCTCGGAGTAGATGAGGATGGTCCGCCGCTGTCCTGAGCCAGTGGATGGCATGGAGGCAGTCTCCAACCATCGGTGCGGTGGTCTTCTCCTCCGTGTGAGCCTGGATGTGTGCGTTTGCTCCCCCTTTTGAGCCATCATAGATCGTCCTGATCTTGTCCGACTCATCAATCCCTGCAAGGGGGCCCGGGCAAAGTTCCTCCGGTTTGCAGCGGCACCTCTCTGCCGCCTCGGAGCGAGTGAAGGGCCCGTCCACCATGTCCAAGGCTCGTTCCTCGTAAAAGGTTGATTCGATTTCCTTGGCAAAGAGTTCAGCCGTTGGGTAGTTATCATGAGCCACTGGCGGGGGGGGATCTTCCCCCAGCCAGGCTTCTCCCTTAAGCTCCTCCTTAGTGGGCCAAACTCCCGGGGAGGTCAAGGTAGGGTCCGAGACTCCCAAGAAAACCCCCTCTTTCAGTGTTAGGGGGAACTCCCAATCAGGGTCACCTGAAAGGGATGCCAAGTGCGACACTAAGTCCAGGAGGAAGGGTTGTCCTGGGCATCGTTCATGGAGGTGCCTCGGTCCTAGGTAGGATAGCCCGCAGCTCCTCGAGGTCGGCTTCCTGGAAGGGGTGTGTGGTGGCACCTGATGCCAGGGACATTCGGACCTTGTCAATCCAGGGCCGGGTAAGGGTCATGATCAGGGCGCCCAAATTAGCCAATGGGGAAATTCTCCAAAAAGGGGGGTTGAGCTTGGGGAAGGTTTTCCCCCCCCATCCCTCAGGGGGCGTGAGCGGAAACCCAATTGGACAATCGCCACCCGGTCAGTGAGGTGTGGGACCCTGAAAGCGGGCAGGCATTCGGGGCGGTCCAGGACCTGGTCCCCCTGTCCCTCCTTCCCCAGTTGTTCCGCATCTCCGGCCATCGGGGGCATGGGAGATGGGAAGTCTGGGTTCATTGTTCCACGAGGGCTTACGGTGTCTGCCTCAGGGTGGAACTGCCCGTGCAGGCGGGGCTTCGGGGCGTTCTTGCCTCCGGGCTTTGAGCCCTGGTGTGATGAGGAGGGACCGCCTCCTTGACTGGGCCCCCGTTTTCCCCGGGGGGAATGGCCTTCCGGGGGGTCCGACCCCCGCCCCTTAGGTGGTTCCTTGGGGTTTCCCGGAAATTGTGAGGGGATCCGGATGTGCCCCGGCGCTGCGAGTGACACAGCGATGGCTTTGGCCAGGCCTGCCATCATATCCCAAGGGTATCTGCTAAGAGTCGAGGACTCGTTGGTGCCCACATGTGACTGATGCGTGCACCGCATTTGATCCCAGTCCTGGATCGGGAGATCCGTGGCCAGCGTAGTGGCCTTCTTGACCAGCTGGCCCAGGCGGCACTGGTCGAAGGAGATTGCTGTCAAGGAGTTCTCCTCCATCCAAAGCTGCCCCTCCTCTGTGATCCAGAAGGATGAGCATTCCTTGGCTTTGGGCAGCGAGCTGCTCACCACTGGGTCCTCCGGGTGTTCCAGGAAGGACCTGGGCCCTGGCAGAGAAACCGCCGCTCGTGAGGCCCTTGCCAGGCTGGTGATGTACATCTGTCTCAGAATGAGGATGCTGTCATCATCAAGTTGAGTCTGGGCGGCCTGGTCCAGGTGTGGAAGGCCCCAAAGTGTCTCTGGAGTGCGCCCTCGCACCGGGGTGGGAGCCCCCGGTTTTGGTATGTGGCGCAGGATGGACCATGTCCTGCAGTTGGGTCCTCCTCCAATGAAGACCACTCGGCCCTGCTTTGCTGCCGTGCAAAGAGCTCCATACAGCTCGGGTTGGAGCATATCGTGGTCCCCTTTTGGTCCAGACCGTAGGATGTCTACCGCCACCACCATGCTGGAAAGGTGTGGGTAGTTGGCATGAAGACAGCTGTCCAAGGAAGTTGGGTCTTCCTTGCCTGCATAGAGCAGGACAATGATGGGCCCACTGGATGGAACTTTGGGCGATGTGCCCTGTGTCCATCTCAGCCGCTGTACCAGACGCTCAGGGATGTTCTCCATCCACGGGAAGATGTCCAATCCCGGTGACGGCTCCGTTGGACTTGTCAGGGGGGTAGCTGAAAGGCGTTGGCCCCCTTCATTCAGCCCCACCGAGCTCTTGTGGAAAACCACCGGGTCCTGCTTGATGATGTTGGGCGCCGGAAGTGGGATCGGCTGCTTCCTGGGAGTGTCCCTTGGCGTTGCGGTGTGCTGCCAGTCATCCGGCACTCGGGCCTTCTGGGTGCGGCCCCCCGTGTCAGGGCCCTCGGCACCTGCGGGGAACCGTCCCGTCCCCGCCATATCAGGGCCCTCGGCACCTGTGGCTCGGGACTGAGGCGCCGCCGTTGTGCCGGTTGTGTGGCTGTTCTGATCACGGCGAGGGCGTTGTGCACGCTGGTTCTGCCGTCCCCATCCTTGTTCCGCCGAGGATGGCCGCCACCTGGCCTGTCCCCCCCCTGTGTCAGGGCCCTCGGCACCTGCAGGAGGGGGCTTCTGTGCCTGCTTGGGGCGTTTGCGCCCCTTCTCGCCCCCCCGGGCCTTATCAGGGCCCTCGGCACCTGAGGCCTCCCGGGGGGTAGGGGTCAGCGCCCCTAGTCAACCCGGGCAGTCCTGCGGGAGGTGGTCCCCCAGGCAGATGCGGCCCATTGCCAGGATGAGGTTGCACTTGTGGGTGCGGCCGCAGTTGCCCGGGCAGCGCCCGCGCATCCAGTTGTTACAGAACTGGTTCCCTTTCGGGTCGGTGGCTGCCTGCTTGTTACCGCCCCGGGACGCCTGATTGTTCAGGTGGGGGGGCTTACCCTTCCCTTTGTTCCCAGGCTTGCCCTTGGACTTCCCCTTGCCCTTGGACTTGTTCTTGCCCTTCTGAGGTGGTGCGTAGTCCATGGATGTCCTGGTTGATGGGCGGCCCCTGGAAAAGGTCTTGATCTTCTCATAGACCTCACGTGTCCAGAACAATGTGTCCTGCCTGACCGACAGCATGGCCGCCTTGAGGGTGTTGCCCTCATGCATCTTCTCGTGAATCTTTCGCCATGCGTTGCGTTCGGCAATTGCCAGGACGTGGTCCTCTGGCGGGGGAAAACGGCCCCC